GTGTTGCATTCTTCTTCCCTTTCCTTTTCATTTTCCCAATTTCCATTGCCCTGAATTCTCTCCAGCCTTTGTTTTACACTTATCATGTGTAATTCCCCAGTCCTTATTCTCCTTCTCCTTCTGTATCTTTAGGCAGCAATGCTGATTGAGGGTCTGGATGAAGGAGCGGTCATAGATAGCTTCCCTAGCAGGTGGTGGAGGTAGAGGACTGGCAGGGGAAAAGGAAATGCTGCTGCATGGGACAGTTATAGAAGTGATGTCTGGTAGATATGAGCCTGAGAGAAAGGGACTATAGTCCAGTGGAATGAAGACAGAGCTGGAAGTGGCCAGTGGGACCAGATGAGGCATGAGGCAATCCCTGAAAGACTGGCTTGAGTGTGAAAACAACATCAGGCATTTATCTTGAGATCGGACTTTAAGGACTCATAAATTCAGCGGTTCAATTCAGATTCGTATTTTGAATTAAATATAGTTGCATTCATGTTGAAAGGGCTTTTTTCCCCCATGCCTCCATAATTTTTATAAGCAGAATAAAAACGGGATGGACAAAAACAATACTTTTCTAAGTATAAAAATAATTCTTACTCAAGTTGAAAGGCGTTTTGATAAGAAGGGTCTGAGCTGAATGTAACACAGGAAACCAGACCAGACTCTCCATGTATATCAGTGAAAATGAAATGAAAAACAAATGGAAATATGTATTTGAAAAATAGCTGGGACTCTTTTTCAATTAGAAAAGATTGATGTTTCTGCACAAAATGCATATCTAAGTTTAAAAAGATCTTCCCAGAGTTATCAAACTAGAGATGGGTTTGTTTGAAGATAGAGTCTGAAGAAAGTGTTTGAAGTTAGTTTATAATTATCTCATCAACATTTACCCAACTTGGAAATGCACTTCTTCAGCAGCTGGGAAAAACTGCATAAAAATGAAGTACAGGGGCCAGAGCGAAAGTACAGAGAGTAGGGCGATTGTCTTGCACATGGCTGACCAGTGTTTGATCCCTGGCTTCCCAAATGGTCCCCCAAACCCTACCAGGAATGATCTCAAGTGCAAAACCAGGAGTGAGCTCTGAACACAGCTGGGTGTGGCCTTGAAAAAAATTAAAATACTGTGTAGAAGAGATCCACAGAAAATGTCTAAATGGGTTTTGATATTTCACTTTTTTAATTGTCAGCTTTTAAATGTAGAGTTTAGTTTCTTTTAAAAAGATAAAGCTGTTTTTTTAATCTGCCAAATTACCCTACGATGATCAAAGCTAACATTTTTATAAATTAAGATTTTGTGTTGTAGCCTTTCAAATTGTTTTATTGTAAAGAAATTTTGGTTTCACCAATTTGTATTTTTATACATTCTCAAAACCTTTAACAGTATTTGTATTGATATACAAAGTGAACACTGAGTTTGCTTCAGTAATTTTTTAGAAGACAACTACGTATTATTTTAGGTGGGACTTGCAGGATAAGAAGATTTACTTTCTGGGTATAATTTTGTAAGTGTGACTAGGCAGAGTGAGACATACTTAAAAGGTGAGAATGGTGAGAAAGGGCATCATGGTTTTGAACAGTTGCAAGTTTAGTACTTTTGGTTCTCAGATCCTAGATGATGAAGAGGACTGAGTGGAGGAGGCCGGAGTGACAGGGTGGTGGCAGGTTTGGAGGCTCTTTGGGGAACCAGAAAAAGTATCAGGAGATCCTTGGGAAACCAGAGTAGGATTTTGTACTTAATATTGTGATGGTTGGATTTATGTTTTAAAAGGATCATTTGACTCCTACATAAATAAACTGGATAAAAGCTAACCACTTTTAAGAGACTTATGATTGATGAAATTGTAGCTCAGTGACAGTGGAAGTGAAAAAAATATTGAGATTTGAAAACTAGAGTTCTCAGGACATGAAAACATTCTGGCACCAGCAACTAAGTGTGGTCACAGTAACAAATTGAGAACTGGCTGAGTGTACTCACACTCAACACTGAAATCAGGTCAGCTTGGAGAGCCTTGCAGGTTTACTGGAAATTGGATATCATTGCAAATATCCAGAAGCTGGGGTATGGGCAGGGAGAGATAAAGAGGAGAGAGATTTCAGTTGGGTAGCTGTAAGAGTGTACAGAAATCTGGAATCTAGAATGAGTACTTTTAGTGAGTACTTATAGGAATTTTAAGAGTCTTCCATGAAGGTGAAGTTCAGAATGTATATAATGGTCAGGATGAGAAGAGAAAAGGAAACAATATGAACAGGTAGAATGGTAAGGAAAAGAATCAGGAGAGAATGGTATTATAGAAGGCAGGAAATAAAGGTTAGGAGGTTGTTGGGTTTTGGTTTTTGGTTGTTGTTGTTGCTGTTGTTTTTCTTTAAATGAACTGTGTATGATTTTATGTCCAGTTAGTGCAAGATGAGAACCCAAAGTGTTTAAGTAGTTTAAATTTAAGGCTGTCATTGATAACTGTTGCTAACCAGTGCAATGGAAGCAGATTATAACAACTATAAGATAAGGGATTAAGCAACTCTTTCTGGAAAAAAATGAAATAAAAAAGAAACATTGCTGATAAGGAATTGAGAGTAAGGTTTATATCTAATGATGGAGGAGACTTAGCCTTTTTGATACTGAAAGTGAGGCAATAGAGAGGGAGAAGTTGGCGGTGAAGAGAGCATGAGCAGGACATCCAAGTCCAGTGAAGCCAAGATGTAGGGGGAGGTGGACTTGGAGTTTAAAGCAAAACAAGTCAAAGTCTGGATCCAGATAGAAGTTCGTATCTGATAGTGGGAAATGAAGATGGTTGCCTCTGAAATCGCTCCTTTCTTTGCAGTGTAGACAGCGTTATCATTTGTTGAGATTCAGAGTCTAGAAGGAGAGAGACAGAGGAGCAGAGAGTGCGTCAGATATCTGCTGTGGAACAGGGGCGAGAGCGGACCAGAGAGAGCTGGTGGGCGTGTTTGTGGTTATTGATGGGGTGTTAATGCCCTATAGCTTTGTGAATTTCTCCATAATAGAAACAGCAGTCGCATCTGCTCTCCCTGAGACTTGTGCCACGTATCTGAGGAGATTCTCAAGCGTGTGTGTCAGTTCAGTCCAGTTTGTGCAAGGAACAGAGTATGATGCATTTGACTCACACCCACCTTTGCCACCTCCCCTGTTGCTATGTGCTGCAGTTTTAAAAGATTCCTGAAGTTATGGAAGTGTATTAAGCTCTTTTGCAACTTCAGTAAATGGCCCCAGACTGCCGTCTTGTTTTTCTTTGAGTTCTTGTCTGCTTTTTTATACTATTTCTGTCTTCCCCCACCCCAACCCCCTTTTCTGTTTTCTTCCTTGTTGTCAGTTGTTCTATCACATTGCTGTCTGCATGCAAGTCTCTATCAGCCCTACACTCTGGACTTTGTCAACATCTGGAATTATCACACCTCTGAAATAATGCTGTGGGCTTGAAGACCAGACAACCAAGCTTATTAAAATTATGTGCAAAGTAAGAGTAAATTACCTGAGTGTAATTCTCATGTGCTGTGCTTTGAGGGTGTACATCAGTGTTTGTAACATGAATTTTGTGACATCCATCAGATTGTTTCCCAGTTGTCCATCTGATGTTTGTTGCCTGGATGCTTGTTATGTTTTTCTTATTTTGAATTTCCATGGATTATAATATCTTAGAGAGCCCTCAGCATTTATGTATTTTATAATTGTTCTATAGTACTTGCAAAGCATTTTCATAGGCATTACCTAAAATTTTAACTGTAATTACACATTTTTATGCTGTTATTTCTTATTATTCTCATGGATTTTCAAATATTTGAAAACTCACATCTTATACGGGAATAACATATACTTTCAAATATTTGTGCATTTCGTATGAGACTAATGTACCATGTCACAACTCATTTAGTCCTGTCCTGGGAAAAGAAACAGGACAATGTAAGTATTTTGGTGTTTTTGCAAAGTAAGTTATCTACTTCAGATTTTCATATCTATCCATGACTTATAGACCTTGTCATCTGTGAACATCTCATGTATGTGTCAATAATTTTAATTTTTTAAGTATATAAGTAAGTGCACAATAAATATTACACTTTCTCTAAATTTATTTTGATTCTGAATATTCTTTACATCAGAAAAAAAGGTAATTTAAGACTCAGTTACTTGGAAACTCCCCTGACTCCAGTCACCTGTTCTGAGGAGTCTTAGTGCCAGAGATTGGGGAGAAGCCCTGAATCCTCATCAGTTACCTAATCATGCTGGATCACAGAAGAAGTTTGTTGCCTCAGCACACACATGCCACTTGCCCAGGCTCTGAGGTTTTCCTCCACTTTAGATAAGTGGATGCAAACCTTGGATGAGCCACTGGGCCCAGGCTTGTGCCTCCCTGAGACAATTTGAATCTCTTGATCCCAGCTATTCATTCATCTTACTGGTGCTGTCTGGGAGGCGAATGCTTCTGATTGGCTCACAGGCCTTTCTCCTCTCTAGAAAATCTTTTTTAGTCTGGGGGAAATCGCCAAACTCTATTTTCAATAGACTTAGAGAACTGGGAGACCAATATTTATATTTTAAAACACAGTGAGTATAAGGAGCCCTGACACAAGCAGTGAAGTTTATTTAAATGATAGAATAGAGGGACAAAACCAAATTTCATTTGAAAAATCATGAAGTAAAACGCTGCAGAATAGTTTAAAAAAAAAAAAGCCACGCCACAGGCCACCATTTTTGATGTCACTTCCTCTGACACTTAACCCGTGCAACCAAGTCCTTTTTATAACTCATATTTGAAGAGTATTAGTATAAGTTAGATGTTATATTTATATTTTACTAGTAATTTCTGAGTGAGCTAAGTATCTACAAAATATACTATGCTAATTTTGTTTTGTCATTTACCAAGTCCTTTTTATAACTCATATTTGAAGATTAGTTTAAGTTAGTTGTATTTATATTTTACTGATAGAGTAATTTCTGGGTGAGCTACGTGTCAATGAAATATACTATCCTAATTTTGTTTTGTCTTATTTTACCTAAGAACACTGGAACTATTTTGGGGCTGATGAAAATCTTGGTCCGGTGGCTGTGAGCATTCGAAGGGAGAAACCAGAAGAAATGAAAGAAAATGGATCTCCATACAACTACCGAATAATTTTTAGAACTAGTGAGGTAAGTTGTGAGTGAAAAAGTCTTGAGGCTTAATTGAAGGGAGAAAAAAATATATAAGAAGTAGTAGCAAAGCAAGTAAGTTTTATAGCGTTGTTTTATTTGTGTCTTTAAAATTAACAAAGACCACTTTCCTTCTGGTGAGTAAAGGCAGGCAGAGCTACTTTCACTTGTCAGGGTATTTTCTCATTTCAGTTCAAGAAATATCCTAAAGTTTAGCATTGTTCACAGTTTACTCCATATCCTAACGGGTATTTCATTCAGATTAGATGGGTTGTTGAAGCAGTGCTGCTAACATCCATGCCCATTCAGACCATCATTTCCATCCCTTTTCGATTCTTTCCCTTTACAAATCTTTGGAAATTTGTGACCAGGGATCTTCGTTACTTGTTTCAGTTCTCTTCTGATGTGTTAAGGGGCATTGGAGTAGAGATTTCTGGGGGGAAAAAAACAGTTTGAGTTTTTTTGTGTTTGAGTTATTCTTAATATTGTAAATATTTTGTAATATTGTAGTGAAAAGGATTGCAATGTCATTTCCTAATACAAAGCAAGATACGTGGGAAGAAATGTACAATTCTTTGATTAAAATTATTTCCCACCAAAAAAAAAAAATCGGAGAGCCCGGCAAGCTACCGAGAGTATTCGATATGCCAGACACAGTAACAACAAAGTCTCCAATGGAGACGTTACTGGGCCCGCTCAAGCAAATCGATGATCAACGGGAGGGGCCTTTTATTTGTGTCTTTAAAATTAACAAAGACCACTTTCCTTCTGGTGGTGATGACTCGACATGATCCTTAAATCTGGGTTCTGTCTACCTCACCCTGGAGAGATGCATTAAATCCATTGGGAGTTTTGATTCTGAGAAAAGTAATATCCAGTAAGTTGTCCCAAGGATATTGGCGCCTGCAAAATCTCACATGGGATATTGTGTATCCACTTCAGGCAGCAGAAAGCACCAAGCCAGTTTGAAGGGCCCTTACTTACACATCAGATAGAATCACCAAGCATTTCTTATACCTGAAAGAGGCAAAGAGAATTTGTTTCTTCCACTTTCATTTTGCTCTCTCTTAGATCAATGTTCAGACATTGAACCAAGGGGCAGACTGACTATTTGAACCAAATTATAGGTGAATCAGGCTTTGGGGGCTTTTTTAGAATCAAAACATATATTACAGATGAGTTTATTTTAAAATGAAATTCAGGGGCCGAAGCGATAGCACAGTGGGTGGCTAGGGCATTTGCCTTGCACTCTGCCTACCTGGGTTCGATTCCCAGCATCCCATATGGTCCTCCAAGCACCAACAGGAGTAATTCCTGAGTGCAGATCCAGAGGCAAGAGAAGCCTGAGCACAGCCAGCTATGGCCCAGAAACTAACCACTGTCTTGGGTATTTTTATAGGAATTGCATTGAATCTATATAGTGCTTTGGGCAGTACTGTCATTTTACGTTAAACCTTCCAGTCCATGAACAGGGAATATGTTTCCATTTCCTTATGCCTTCTTCTCTTTCTTTTAGCAGTGATGTGTAGTGTTCTGTTCTTTTTCTCCATGCCAATCATTAAGTCACTTACATGCTTTTGTTGTACACCTGAAGCAGAGAGAGTGCATGGTGGTTTGAAGCTGGGTGGAGTTAGCTGCTCATTCTGCCTTTCCAGTACCACCAGACTATTCAAGTGATCTTGTTCTTCATCTCTATTCCCCTTCTAAGACTATATCATTTTAAACTTCCATCATATTCTTTTCTTTTAATTTAAATTTTTCCTCTTTTTTTTTAAATTTAAAATCCCCCTCTTAATATTAACTCTCCTGAAATTGAAGAGCTGTAAATAAGCACTTCTCAGACCTGTCCCTGTATCAGCAAAGTGTGTGTGTGTGTGTGTGTGTGTGTGTGTGTGTGTGTGTGTGTGTGTGTGTGTAGAGGGAGGGGGTGGGGGGCTTCCTCCATGTTTGTCCCCTGCAGCACCCTGTCTGGTCCCAGGTTCTCTCTCCATTATAACTTCTGTCCTATATCCACCATGATTCCTCTCTTAGCAACCATGCTCATTTACTTGCTGATCTGTTTATTCCCCTTCACTGTCTGACCTCTGCAGTCTTCTGTGCATCTCCCTCTGAGTCTCTAGTCTTGCACATCAGACATTTTCCTGCTAACCCGTTTGAGTGAATCAGTCCTTTGAGTTTTCCTTAGACTTTAAAATGTCTAAGCAGGATGGAAAAAAAATAAGAAAAGAAGAAAATAAAGGATGGCAAAAAAAATAAGAAAATAAAATGTCTAAGCCAAAGGTTATTTATATCTTTTTTTTTAAAAAGTTGCATTTGCTTTTAAAATTCAAATTAGTGATTAACTGATGACAATTCTGTTATTCCGGTGATGGTCAGAATCTTTAAAAGTAACTTGACTCCTCTCTTCTGCTCCCTTCTGCCACTAACCACCATTAAGAAAAATATAACACATTTGCTAACTTTGTCTTCAGAATATACCCTGAATTTAACCACTTCTGTCACCCCGCTGCCTTAGCCTGGTCCCAGCCACCTTTGTCTTTCCCTGAGATCTGTTTTTGCTCTTCCTGCCCGTTAGCTCTGCATCTGTGCAGAACTGCATTTTGAGATGCAGTGCAGATCTGATCATTCCTCAGCTAATGATCGCTTTAGGGTTTCCCATCTCCACCTGAGATTGCCAGTCACCTTTAGAGGCTAGGAGATTATGAGGACCTCTGCTTCTGTCCTCATCTGGTTACTCCCTCTGTGGAGATGGCCTCTTTCCACTCTGGACTACCTCTGTCACATCAACCTCCAGACTTGGATGGTTCGTAGTCCTCTACTCTATAGTCTCATCCACAGGGACCTTCTTGGCTGTAGCTCCCTTTCTTCCTTCTGGCCTTTACTCATCAATCACAGCAGCCATTCTTGGCAGCCAAATCTAGCATTTCTTCTTTCTCAGACAGCGGTGGGAGGCCCTGGGAACATTGTTGGTAAAGGTACAGTAACTGTATACATCAGAAACATAAACGTTAACACCCTTCTAAGCATGTTACACTAAGTTAAGTAAATTTTAGCTTTCAGAATATCCCCATTTTATATCCAATTCCAGGCTTCATTTTTTTCTCACATTTATGTTAACAAATAACATCAAGATAAAAGAAAACATGGTGACACAGTGACACCCTGGTTGCTTTGGTAAATGGCACCAAGAGAACAGAAAGAAACAGATTCTGCATTAATAGAGAAATACTGGTTGTAGAAGCATGAATCAAAATAAGCATCGCAATTATTTCATTCTTGTTTGGAGGCCATTCAGGTGGTGCTCCTGGCTACTCCCAGCTCTGTGCTTGGGAGTTGTTCCTGGCATTACTTCAGAGACCATGTAGGACCAGGATCAAACTGGATCCTTCTGAATACAAAGCATGCACTCAGCCCTTTGAGCTCTCTGTCTGCCCTGGGTACATTTTTAAACCTGACAGTTTGTAAATGAACAAAATCGTGTGGCATGTGAATTTTTGTCCTATGAATAGCAACTTATGAGGATGCCGTTCTTGGTTCTGGAAGTCATTAACAAAAATATCACTAATACTGTGATTCAGATATAAAAATAAGTAATCCTTTTTCTCATCTGCTCTGACTTTTGCGAGGTGAGCTGTCAGCTCTTAGAAGAGCAGGATTAGCAGTACTAAAGTTCCATGTCTGGGTTTCTCAGTCCAAATACTTTACTCCTCTGTAGCAATCCATGGTCAGACTCGTGTTCTTACATGTATGAGAAGGCACAGTAACCGAGTCATTCACCAGCTTCCCATCATTTAAAAAAATTTATTAAAACTATTTATGCCAAATATCATATTAATTGAAGAATTATATATATGTACATACATTTAGTATTATTTGAAGATGTTATAAATGGAAGAAAAGATACTAGTCAAAAGAAATGATTCCAAGTGTCTCATCTTGGGATATTTGGGATAAGATATTGATAAATTTGTTTTGCCATATCCTCATCTCTCTTCTCTGTCAGTTATCAGATGTTCTCGATTGTACTTCCCTGGTGATTTTTCCTTTCCTTTTTCCCTGATAATCCCTTAATAATTCCTTAGTATTGTCCTCTTTTCTGTAATCTGATGACTGTTACAGCTTCTTTCCAGTTTCATTCTGTCTATAGTTCTTTCCTCTTGTAGTTCATCTTACTGGCCAACTTAATCTTTTTCCAGTAGTTACCAATGTTGCAGATATTTCCAGATGACATAATGCATCTCGGGTAGATGGTCCCAGTAGGTGTACTAGGTGTCAGTCCTTGGTGTATGGCAAGTTCTACTCATCTAGATTTGTGTACTTATACCCGATGACATTTGTACCATGACAGAATCGTCTAATGATGCATTTCTTGGATGACATCCCTGTTGTTAAGCAGCGCCTGACTCTGTATATCATCCCTTCCTTCAGATGAGTTGATATAGGATAACACTCCTTTGTCCTTCCTCAGGTAGCTTAGGTTTGTCAGGTCACACCCATCTAAGGACACTGAACTTGTATTTTAAGCAATGTCCTTTCTGTGTGGACACAGGAAGACAGTTAATATTATGCTTTGTAACTTGGGAGTTGATTGACTCCGAATCATATTTACTCCTGGGCATCTGATTTCTTGACTCAGTTGCCCTTAGTTCCTAGCACCCCAAAAGCAGGGTCCCGACGAGGAACTGAATGGACCCAGGGCAAGCTGTGAGCTACTCTGGCATTGAAATGGGCCAGGCCAAAGAGCCACGATACTCTACTATAAGTTGAGGGCATGATCATGGACAAATGCTGTCATGATCCAAAAGTAAGTAACGACGAGAGTAGGACCTGCTGGAGCTAGGAAGATTAACCTGGCCTGAGGACTGCGGAATGTATAGTGAGGTGTTCTCAGGAAGAACCAAACTAAATTTATATCTCTTACTGTGCTCATACAGAATGACATTGCTAGAAATATTAGAAGTAGATTTATTACAACTATTTAAGGAGATTACTAACTGAGGGAAGAACACACCCTTGTTGGGATCCCACCCTTGAGCGAATCTCCTAGTAATCTGAAGTAATCTCTGTAGATGAGATTTTATCCTTGAGTTAATCTCTTGGAGGAGTGGTCTTACCTCTCTTTGTTGATTCATCAGTATTCAACCCACCTTTATGTCACCTCCTTATGTGACTGCTATATAAACTAAGATGTAAGCTCGGAGAGGGGAGTCAGAAGCAAGAGAGCTCGGGCTCCAGAGATCCAGAGTCCTGACGAGAGTTCCAAGATTGAGGTTCCAAGCATCACCAAGAGAGAGGTTCCAAGATTGGGGCCCAGGAGAGAAGGAGGCAGAGAAAGACAGGAGTGAAGAGGATTGGAATAAACTACTATTGATACAGACCAGCCTGGCCCTCGTTTCTTCTTCTGTCTGCCCTTGGCCAACAGCCGTTCTGATCCAGGCCACGCAGTGGCTCAAGAGCATCGAACGCAGGCGGTGAGACAGTGCCATCCAGTGAGCCCGTGAACACACAACCTTTGGCAAAATAAGATTTTACAGCTGGTGTCCCTGGATGGGCACGAACCACCAACCTTTTGGTTAACAGCCGATTTTACAAGTTCTGAGTCCCTATTTTGCCCCAGATAGCTTCATACCCTGAGCTGATGACGGCATGTTCTGCTCAGCAGTTCACCCCACCTAATAGCTTCATCATCTACTTTTCCCTGGTGCTCTTGACTTCCACCTCACTAATCCATCTCACCTGTTGCTTCTTGCCTCGCTACTTTTTTTCTTGAGGACTTGTTGCAGAATTTATCTTGGATTCCATGCTCCCTTTTACTTATTATTTTGGTGAGGAGGAGAGAGTGCCCAGCTGTGCTCAGGACTTACTCCTTGCTCAGTGCTGACTCCTGGCAGTGCTTGGGGGACCATATGTGTTGCCAGGAATTTAATTGGTTTCAGCTATATGCAAGGCAAGCAAGTTCCCCACTGTACTATTTCTCCATCCTCCCTAAACCCCTTTTTTAATGCAGCCCTTTCTGTGAGGAGAGCCTTTCCTTGTGCATAAGCCCCAGTGATGTTTTCTGCCTTTAGACACATAGAACCTGAACAAGTCACCCTTTTCTTAGTAAATATATCCTTCCTGAATTCTAGGTGCATCTCTGCTTCTCACCCTCTTCACCACATATTCCTCCACTTATGCTCCTCTGTTAGCTTTGGGGCCCCATGTTCCAACACAATACCTTCCAACCTACATGCTTAATGGAAATTGAGTTTTCTGCTGTCAGCCATAGAGTGCTCAGTTGTTTTTTGTCATACCTTTCCATGTGAAAATCTTTGAAAATGAAGACTATTTTAGGTTTAATGTCTGATTAACTTCCAGCAAAGCATCACTGTGTAATCAATAAAAATCTAAAGTGATTTCAGATGTTGGCTGTGCTACCGGACTATAATTTTTGTCCTATTATATAGGCACCTGAGGCTCGGATGGCTTCTCTGTGTAGTAGTATCTTATAAAATCTAAAGCTGTAGGTCCACCGCCCCCTTTCCTTACATAACTTAATAACATATACTGTCTAAATGTTTTGTTTATGAACCCACACCTGGTAGTATTCAGAGTCGGCTTGTGGTGCTACTGGAGGAACCACACAGTGCTACGGAGCAAACCCAGGATTCTTATTTGCAAAGCAATAGCTCTGTTCCATTAAACCATCCCCTCCTCCAGCCCAGTATCTAAATTTTAAGCATTTATTCTTCAGACATTTCTCCGAGATAACTCTTTCATAACTTCCTGTTCAGTGTACCTAGCGTCATTATTGCAGCCTTGTAATAGAGGCCTTGAATGCTGTATTTGCTGTATTTGACCCTTAGGGAAGTGCCCTCTGAGGTGTCCTTTATCAAGTTGCCTTGGATTTACTGGGTCTCCTTGGAAGTGTTGACCCTCATGTTTTTTCATCTGTAATGTGTCTTACACCACCTCCTTCGTGGGCTGCACTGACAGAAAGTCACTTCCTATGGAGGACTAACAGTGACCTGGGGTTCGATGCATGGGACATATTTACTCTCACCCTTCCAGAGAGAACTCACAGAGCACATGTCTTTCAGCTCATGACCCTGAGAGGATCAGTCCTGGAGGACGCTGTCCCTTCCACAGCCAAACACTCGACGGCCAGAGGGCTGCCCCTGAAAGAGGTGCTGGAGCACGTGATCCCGGAGCTCAACGTCCACTGCCTGCGCTTGGCCTTCAATACGCCCAAAGTCACGGAGCAGCTCATGAAACTGGATGAACAAGGGGTGAGTCTGACTCCCAGATCCTGGCTTGCTGCTTGGGCTTCCTGCAGCGCCTCAGGACACAGACCTTACTCTTATATTTTTAAACCAGGAAACCTCACATCCTTTATTGTGAAGGCTGTTCTCTTGGCAGCGACCTGTTGTCTTTTCCTTAAGTCACATATTTGCTGTCTGATGACGTTCTTCATGTCAGAGTTGATAGAGAACTGAAATTGTGTGCAGCCTCTTTTTGTAATCTTCCATAGGTGCAGTGAATTTTTAAAGTACTCTAGGAATAACCAGTAGCAATAATGGTAATAGAAATTATAGCTAAATACACAGAATGCAACATGTCAGGCTCTGTTTTAAGTGCCCTAATTATGTTATCCATTGAATCTCCCAGCTCTGTGAGAAAGGTTCTGTTATTATCCCCATTTCAGAGATAAGGAATCTGAGGTACCCAAAGATGAAGTAACAAGTCCAGGCTCACACAATAATAAGTTCAAAGCCTGTACTGTTAACTACTTAAAAACTTAAAGCTTTTGGGACTGGGGATATAACAAAGGGTTGGGGTGCATGCTTTCATGTAGGTACCCCAGGTACAATCCCCAGCACTTTCCCCTGAGCACTGTCAGGAGTGATACCCTTCACTCCGAGCACCAAGTCAGGTGTGGATCAAAACTCACTTCCTTCCCCCGCCCCCCCCAAAAAAAAAGAGGCTAAAAGTTTTAAAGTCTAATAGTGTCACCAGAGATACATGAAGTCTAATAGTCAAGATTTCTGAATACAAAGCTTTAAAATTGGAGTCCTAATTAGTAACAAAATTAAAGTATTCAACATTTTCTCACCTTCATAATCCATAATCAGTACAGGGACTCACTGGTCAAAATGCAAAATAATTAGTGATAGGATAATCTGTATCAAGGCAGAAAAATCATAGGGAGTAAAACATTATGGGAAATTTTGGAAAATTCAGTAGCCAAGGTGTATCTCCATTTGGCTTGTACTACTAAGGTCATATGGGTTAGTTTTGTTAGATATCCTATATTTTTCAATTTGTTCTTTGAATGTTTCAAGACCCTGTTTTGTTTTGACTGTGAGCAATGATAGCTTTTACAGAGCATTAAAATTCTTCAGGGACTGGAGCAATAGTCCAGTGGGTAGGGCATTTGCCATGCATGTGGCTAACCAGGGGTCCCCAGCATTCCATATGATCCCCTGAGCATCATCAGGAGTAATTCTTGAGTACAGAGCCAAGAGTAAGCTTTGAGCATTGCCAGGGGTCGCCCAAAACCAAAACAAAAAAATCTTCAGAAATAAATTTGATCCAGTTGTTGAATGCCATTTCTTGAACAAACGCTGGTGGTATTTCCTTACTAAAAAATACCAATTTATTACAGTGAGTGAGATTTCCAAAGATAATAGTTATGAGGTAAATTCATTTTACTCTCTCTGTTCGTTCATTTTACTTGTCAAAAAACAGAACTGATAACTTCCATACACACATTGGAAGAAAGCTGAGAGTATCCATATGTATAACAAAACAAGTTAATATAAAACACCTTAAATACTTCAGAATACTGATGAATAAGCTTAACTATTTTGGTTACTTAATATTTTTGAGTATTTTTTGAGTATTCTATTATCTATTATCTGGTATTCTAGATAATATATATTCTAGCTACTTCTAGATAATATGTCTATTATCTAGTATTCTAAAAAAAAACTTTTTGAGTATTCTAGCAAACAGGAAGTAGAAAATAAATGATATGGCTCAATTTTTTGGTTCAGTCTTTACACTAGATTCTTAGGAGAATAACATTTACACATTGACAGTATAATCAGGCTAACCATTTGAAATTCTGCACTAAAACTCTTTATTTGATATAATGGAGGAACATATTGCCTTTATCCGTTATTGTATTTATATTAAATTCAAAGCAGGCATCCAAATTATAACACTCTATTCAATCTTGCAACACTTTGCGTAACTGCAAAGTGATTGCAGAATGTTGGACTGCCTGTGAAGCTCCGCCACTCACCATGTAATGCTGCTATCTATACTGGAAAAATAAAAATATCATAACAAATTTAACTTTATGTCATTTACAAGACTGTCCATACTGAAATTATGAACTTGCAGAAATTATTGGGGATATTAAAATATACTTTCCTTCATAACTTATTGGTACTAATATATATGAATTGTCTTCTTTACCTCATTTCTAAGTGAAATAAAAATTTGGCAATCTATGTGAGTCTCCCTGATTTCATTTTGAGTGCTTTACTAGGTAGTAGTATCTAAAAGTTTAAGACCTGCTTTTCTATATAAGAAACTCATTATCTCTGTACCAAAAGGGATCTCATATGCCTCTGTCTTCCCTTTCTTCATCACATTCAAACCCAGAATTGTGCTGGTAAGAACATGTCACACATACTTAAGACGGGCAATCATTGTTTCAAAGAGGATATCTCATTAATACCTTGAATCTTTTTTTGCTGGGAGAGGGAATCAGGGCTACACTTGGCCACTTGGCTGTGTTCAGGAATCATATGAGTTGCCAGGGATCAAATCCAGGTCGGTGGCATGAAAGGAAGGCCTTACCCACTCTGCTATCTCTTTGACTCCCTCCCCCCTACCCCCCACGAATCATTTTTGAAAAGCTAATTATTTTAGAACTCTTAAAAATTTAAATTTTAAAATTTCTCCATCATCATTTTAAATTTCTATTCATCATTATAATTGAAGAGATTGTGGTCTGACTTCAAGAAACTACACTTAGTAAAAGGAATCTCTATAAGGAGTTAGGCAAGGGTTGCAAGGGGAGGAGAGCGGGAACCCTGGGAACCCAGGTGAAGGCATGAAGAAGACACCGATGGTGGGATTGGTGCTGGAACATAGTATGTCTAAAACCCAACCAACTGGGGTCAGAGCAGCAGTATAAAGGGTATGGCATCTGCCTTGCATGTGGCCAACCCAGGTTTGATCCCCAGCATCCCATCTGGTCCTCTGAGCACCACCAGTAGTAATTCCTGAGAGCAGAGCCCAGAGTAAACCTTGGCTATGGACAAATGTGACCCTACAATAAGTAAATAAATACGTACGTACATAAATAAAAGAAAACCCAACTATTATGAAAAACTTTATAAATCATGGTGCTTTAATAAAACTTTTTAAGTTTTTTTTAAAGGAACTTCTGTGTCTTCCTTTAAATATTATTTAGGACATGCACTCAACAGGCTGAGTACATGCTTTGCATGCAGAATGCCTGGGTTCAAGCCCCTTCATGCATGGTCTCCAGGTAGCATCAGGAGTGATTCCTGAGCACCGAGCCAGGAATTGCCCCTGTGTGTAGTTGATTATGACTCAAAGGCACAAAATTTAAAAGCAAAATGTTTCTTAAATTAATGAGCCCTTAGTATGTTTCTTTTTTAAATAGCTTAATCATTATTTTTAGGGGATTATATTTTATATGCTGCATTTTCTTTTGCTCTGTCTTGTCTTGACTTTTTATTTTGGGGTCACACCAGTAGTTCTCAGGACTTAGTCTTGGTTTTTTATTCAGCAATCGTTTCTAATGGACCTCAGGGAACCCCAATAAGCCATGTTCAAAGCAAGTGCTTTACCCACTGTACTTTCTCTCAAGTCCCCTTTGTTTGCTGTATTAGAGCAGTTTGCCTTTTAGATAGTTGGTGTTTACTTGGTGTTCTGTATTCTTATTTATAGCTTCTTAAAAAGTGAAAGTTAACTGACCAGATTAACATTACATCTATAAATTGTTTCACAAGAATAAAACGGGCTTTCTTTTGATTAGATTCTGACAGGAGCTGAAATACACATGTCAGTTCCTCAGGTTTTAAGAATGAATGCGTTTCTTTTCTTGAAGCCTTTCTGGCCTTGGTTTATTGGTATTCATTTCCACTGTCATCATTGGCAATACTGAGATGAAACTAACCTGCCATTGATTGCACACTAGCAAGAATATAGAACAGAATCTAGCACCACACCCTCCCCCAAGAGTGTCCACTTCCCTCCAGTGTGGTCCTAGTGTTACCATCCACCATTCTCTCCGTGTGGTAAGCTTCCTACTAAAGACCAGTTCTCAGTTTCTTTTGCATTTGGGCATTTGTTATTACCCCTTCTTTGTTTCCTTATGCCCCACATATGAGAGAGCATTCGGTGTTGTCCCTAGCCTTCTGACTAACTTCACTCAGCATACTACTTTTGAGATCCATTCACGTAGTAGCAAATGAGGTGATTTCATCATTTCTTACAGTTTTCTTATAGTACTCCATTGTGTATGTGTTTCATGCTCCTTTATCCAGCCATCTGCTCTGGGACACTGGATTGTTTCCAGATTTTGGCTTTTGTAAACTGTGCTGCAATGTACATCAGAGTGCAAATGTTTTTTTCAGAATAGAGTTTTTGGGCTCTTGAGTTAGATGCTAAGAAGTGAAATTTTGGGGTCTTAGGGAAGCTCATTTCCTACCTTTTGGGGAAATGTCTGTATCGTTTCCAAAAAGGCTAGACCAGTCCCACCCACAGTAGAGGAGGGTCCCTATTTCCCCACATTCTTGGCAACACTGGTTGTTCTGTTCATTTTTATTGTCCAAATCTCACTGGTATAAGATAATATTTCATTGTTACTTTGATTTGTGTTTCCCTTATTATCACTGTATCATTGTATCACTGTCATCCCGTTATTCATCGATTTGCTCGAGAGAGCACCAGTAACATCTGCATTTGTCCTAGCCCTGAGATTTTAGCAGCCTCTCCTTACTCGTCCTTCCCAACAGTGCCACATTGGATGCTCTTTCAGGATCAGGGTAATGAGACCCGTTATTGTTACTGTTTTTGGCATATCAAATACACCATGGGAGCTTGCCAGGCTCTGCCATGATACTCTTGGTAGCTTGCCGGGTTCTCCGAGAAGGATACCTGGACTATATGATGTTGTGCAGCTGTGTATGCAGGTGTCCTGCATGCTTCCAGGAGCTTTGTTTTATAGTCTCTGGATCTTGGC